TCTTCTTAATACCATCTTCCACGGTCTCCTCTATTGTTATTGTTGTATTGTTGTAATTATAATTGTGTCCTGTCTTGTGAAATTTTCTTATTTATTGTTGTAATCTTCCTATTTATTGTTATTGTCATCCTGTAAAGCGCTTTGAGAAGCCACCTTTAAAGGCGCTATATAAAATAAAGTTTATTATTATTATTATTATTATTCCAATCCTGGGTATAAATTATTTACACATTTTCACAGCAGTGCACTGAAAGTTTGCGTAGTGCATCTCTGTAGGAGCTTCTCCAGAACAGATTTTAGTTTTTTCTGCCCTCTGCAGTCTCCTAATGACCCCTTCTTGCCTAGTGAGGAGTCTGGATGTACAGTCTGTCTTTGATTGGCTGTTGGCCTGCTGTCGCCACAGACTGGGGCACTATGATGTAATATCTGCTTGTGTATCTGACTGGTTGGGTGTTACTCAGTGTACTTTTTGCTCTTCTTCATTTTCACAGGCTCCGGAGGTGATCCGAATGCAGGATGTCAATCCCTACAGCTTCCAGTCGGACGTCTATGGATATGGAGTGGTGCTTTTTGAACTCATATCTGGAACATTGCCTTATTCCAATATCAACAACCGCGACCAGGTGTGGCCCGCTGTGTGTCAGAGACTGGGGGCTGTTAATTTGGGGGCGCATGCCATGTAGATGTGACCGTTGCCTCATTTCATCTGCATTCTGTGTGAGCTGTGGCTCATCGTGGAGTGTGCTGGTCTGTGGTCGACGAGAGCCCGGGTTCAAATCCCGACTAGTCAGCAGCTGGTGAGGGCCAGGGTCCCTTGTGAGCTGTTGATCTGCCTCTCTTGTGTGACATGTTGTTTAATAGAGAACTGCAGCAGTGCTTTGTGATTTATGGCTGTGCTCTCTCCAAGGGGTTGTGCAGTGTCCCCCAGCTTGTGTTGCTCCAGCAGCTCCACTGCAGAGCCAAGAAGTTCAGGTTCAGAGAGTAGAGTACAGTAGTTTGCCATATGTTCACGTACATTGGATTTCTTAATCGCGCTGATCTCTTGGCCTGATCCTGAATCCCCCTGTCCCCTCTCTCTCGCTTGCAGATTATCTTCATGGTGGGACGGGGTTATCTGTCTCCTGATCTCAGTAAACTTTACAGTAACTGTCCGAAAGCCATGAAGAGACTCATCATTGACTGCCTGAAGTTTAAACGAGAGGAGAGGCCACTCTTCCCACAGGTAAGAACGTCTGAATCATTGGGGGGGGGGAATTCCAGTTTTCTTCCTGAACATTGGCACAAATGCTCAGCCTTTTTAAAAGAAATTAACTCTAAATGAATGAAGAAATTATTCTCGTACTGCCCTGAGACAGCCCCAGGGCTGAATTCAAATTGTTCTTTGCAGTGAAGCCCTCTTCTAAATTGCTACATCTTTCTAAACCTGCCTCCTCGGTTAGTCCAAAAATTAAGTGAAAAGCAAATTCAGGCAGAAGGTGTTTTGCCATCTAGGTGGTTGAGAGTCTGTGTTGTGATGCTGTTTGGCTCCCCCTCAGATCCTGGTGTCGATCGAACACGTTCAGGACCTGCTGCCGAAAATCGAGAGGAGCGCCTCGGAGCCCTCTCTCCACCGGGCGGTCCACGCCGAGGACCTCAACCCCATGCTTCTGCACACCACCCGGCTGCTTCCGCTCTGAGGGCCGTCCTGGGACCGCTGCTCGCCCGGTCAGCTGGAGAGGAAACTCAGAGCCGCCACCTCCGCCCCCCACACGCAGCGCCGGAGGCTGGAGCCGCGGCCCTCCACGCTCCGATCGGGAGAGCGGAGCGGCGCCTCGGCCCTGTGATCGGTTCAGGAATGCCGAGTCGAGTCTTCCTGCTCCTCGCTGGCCCCGACGCTCGCGCGCCGCACTGGAAGACTCGGTTCGTCCAGAAGCAACGCCCTCAGGATCGGCTGTTTTTCCATTCCAGTCGAGCACTGTGACAAGGAGGAGAGAGGCTGCCACTGAGACAGTAGATGACCTGTCCGGTTCCCCCTGCTTCTCTGAGATCAAACTAAGCCTCGAGGACTTGTGTGGCTGGATCTGAAGTGCCCTATGAAAGCTTCAGTGCTGTGGCTCTCCAGCTCTACACCGAGCAGTGTGCGAAGGCCAGCTCACAGAGCAGCTCTGCCCTTCCCTAGGTTGGTCCTTTTGGTCACTACACAGGCGAGGCTGAGCAGAGAGCCTGTCTTGTTCCAGACACCCCAGCCCTCGACTGTTGGGTTGCTCACAGTAAACATTCCTCAAACTGCCTTTGCCAGGCTGCTGCTCTGTCCGATTCCCCCAGCGTGCTGGAGCGCTGGGGGGAGGCCGTGTGACTGCCGAGTCGCCTGCAGCTGCAGGGTCAGCTCGTGCCGCTGTGTCCCCGTCGCCCGTCACCTCCTGTCCGCCGTTGTCTTCTCCCACATCTCTCTTGCTCTCGCTTTGCCTAATTCCAGAAATGGCACTGCCAGCTGGAGCTGAAGAGCACATCCCCAACCCCCCCCAGCTTTGATTACAGAATTCCTCGGAGGACAAAGGCCAGTCCTCCCGCCGTTTCATCCCGGAAGACTCGCCTTCGCTCTCCGTCCGCTGCTGCCGTGCGGGAGCTGCCGCACCGCGTTCCAGCGCCCCCGGACTCGACCCTCGTGCCACTGCTCCAGCCAGGCCGGGCCAGGCCAGGCCAGGCCAGCCCACCGGCCCCCTGTAGCAGGACAGGGCTGGGCACGTTGCAGGCCTGCCACTTCCCTCATCTGGCATCCAGGCTTGCTGGAAAGCAGGGCTTTCCCAGGATCAGCCAGTGGGGCAGCGGATGAAAAAGACACAGGTCCTTCCCAGTGTGCCGACGTCTGGCTTAGTGGTTCTCTGTACTTTCTTTGGCTCCACTGGTGCATGTGTGGGACCCATATACTTGAGGCAACCTGCTGTCATGAGCCATTGCAGGCTGCTGGACTTTTCTCAGCTCCCAGAGATTCAGTCTGAGGGCAGAGGAAAACTCCTGGCCCAGTGCTGTCCGTCTGGAAACGGCTCAGGCTGGCGGTGCTGGCGCTGGCTTCCTGTCTCTGGCTGTGCTTGGCGGCTGCTCCTCATGGGGTGGGCTGCTCAGCTGCTTCATCGGGCTGCTCAGTTACTTCTTGCTCAGCTGCTCTTCTGAAATCCACGGCACACAGAAAGTGTCTGTCAATGTTGCAGTAAAGCTTCAGATCAGTGTGATTCTGTGTAACACGTTTCTGTAGTGCATCTTAAGAAGCAGGGAGCCCAGTCAGGTCATACACACCGTTCTGTACCCTTTTCTATGATTCAGATCAGATTGGGCACACAAAGCAAAGAGCATGAGATCTTGTCTTGTAAGAAGTTCTTTTAGACATCGGCACCAGAGTGGTGTTCCTGTCCTGTCTCAAGGGACAAAACAGATCATGAAAGTTCAAAGTCCTGGAATCGACGGCTACAGGAAGCCTCCACCTGTATTGAGCTTCCTGCTTTCCCTTCAGCTCCTGAGTGATGGACAGGCGTTCCGAGGGTGTCCGACCACGGAGACCTGGTACCAACCACGCACGCAACCTCTTGTTTTTCCTGTGGGCCGAGTCCTGCAGGATCTTCACTGCGCCATTCCTAAAGGAGTCCCGCTTGATACTGGGAGGAATCTGTAGGAATCCTTGGATTTTTTTTTTAAAAATGAAACTGAGCACAGAAATTGCACATTCCTATAGCATCATGTCAAATGAGAATGGAAGTGGCGTGTCGCTGACCAAATCCCACCTCGGAGCAACAGTTTCTTCCTTGTCAGTTGGGCGTGAAAGGAATGGGCTCGGAGCAGCAGCGGGGGTCTCGGGGTCCGCTGTCCAAGCAGAGGAGCTTTACTGCAGTTCCTCGGGAGGGTCCGGGCACCACTTGCAGTTGTAAGTTTCGCTTAGAGACGTGATCTGCAGGAAACCTAGTTTTATTTATTCTGGACAGAGTGCCCAGGGCAGCAGTCGGACTCGCACGTGCAGTTTGCGCTGAAGGACCCGCAGCCGAGCGGAGCCAGAGGAGAACGGGGCTCTGGGAGCGCAAGCATGCCGGAATCCGGTTATACCGCCGGAAACGCAAGTCCAGAGGGCCCTGCCAGGACGGAACAGAGGCTGACGATGAGGCCGAGACACTGGGATGTGAACTCTAGGTTCACGATTAGTTTGATTTTTGTTCCTTTTAATTTCTTTTTTAATGATGAACATCAGCCTGTATTTAGAGACTGCGAGATCTACAATGAGTGTTCAAGATATAGAACAAATGAAAAACTGACAGCTTTTGTTTCAAAAAGCAGTTTGTATTTTATAAATCTAGAGCTTTTTAATCAAAAAGGGACTGGATTACCCTCTGTGTTTTCCAGAATCCAGTTCTGTAGGCAGTCAGGATTGGGTAGGGATGGAGTGGGAAGGGTGAGGGCTGTAGGTAGTAGGGGTAGGAACAGAAGAGATTGTCCCTGTGTTGTAGTCTGTGTGTCGTATGATTACGCTGCGGTGTCACGTGGGCTGTCTTGCACTTTCTAGTGAAATTGCTGGAGATGGATTACAAGAGCCCTCCTGCTTGAATCTGAATATCTTCCAAACACAGATGTGCTTGGATCAGCTGGTGTGGTGCCTCACAATTGAGCTGCAGTAATGTCTATGTGATCGGTGGGGGGGGGGCAGGTTTTTAAAACAATCCGGGAGGGGGGGTGGGGGGGTCCAGTAAAACACTCATGCAGTAGGTGCCCGAGGGCTGTGGCTGGTGTCCGTTTTGGTCAGGGTGTTACAGAACTCGGAGGCGCAGTTTTGGATGAGCGTTGCAGCAGAAGGGGCGTAGGTGAGACTGCGCACTGTGTATCACATTGTGCCGTTTCCCAGGAGTACTAGCTGCCTCTCCCTGTCGATAAGCACAGGCCAGATGCTGGATGTTTAACTTCTTTTATTTGGAGTAAATATGCATAGCCAAAATACAAAAAAAATCAGTTTGCTTTCCTGTTTCTACTTTAGACTTTACTCTACTTTCATTCCTCTTCAAGTTGACTGAACTGCAGTGTAATTTACTCCAGTGATTTCAACAGCTGTAATTGAAAGCTGCCCGTTTTCATCGTGCTCTCGCTGTACTGCAGTGATCGAGCCCAAGCATCTCTGCAAAAGTGCTAGGTGACCGCAGGCCAGACAGCCTCTTCCTATCGTTTCAGTAGGCCGGGCATCTCCACTGCAGCTCTGCCCGTTACGCGCTGTGAAGTCAGACAATCTGCTTCCAAACATATTCATCAGGCACTGTCAATAACGGTCACACTGCGCACACAAACATGCTGAGAGAAATGATCGTACTGCTGTGTTTGTGGCCATTCTGCGGTCATCAATGCTGTGTGCACCATGTCCTCTATTATCCCTGTTTTTTTCCAATTATCTCTGCCAGTTGGAATGCAGGCTCAGTGGGAACTGCTTCTAAGCAGAGGAGGAAATCATGTCTAATCACTTTGCCGTGCCTCCCTCACCTGGAAGAGCAGTGGTGCTGTTCTGATTAGACCTGGGGTTCCCTACAGTACAGCATGTGTAGGCCGCGTTCATACAGCTGCAGACACGGATCATCATCACTTTGATTATCTCCCTGTGTTGCAGTAGACAAAATATTTGCATATGATTATTTAATCAGGTCAGAGGGTTCCTGAAGGTCACACAGAGAAAACCATTTCCTCCCCGTCTCCCTGTCGATGCAGGGGGCCACGAGGAGACCGAGACTGACACCAGGCTTGTGGGTAGGGATAGGCCTCCCTGGGGTTTTTTACAAAATAGTTTTTCTCTTCTAGTCTTTTGGCCGCGCCAGCCCTCTGGCAGGCTCGCGGCATGAGCTTACAGCGGCGGTCCCCAGCACCCCTGGGGCTGCCACACAGAGAGGAAAGGGCCGTGTTGGACCAGGAAGGGCTGCATATCTTTTGGGAACTGCAATTGGTCTTTCTTGACTTGTATTGGTCAGCTATGGGAGGTATTCAGCTGAATGCAATAAAGGAGGGTATTCTACTGTGTACAGTTACATTTTTTTTTAAATGTAAAAAAAAAATTAAGTTTCTATTTTTGTGTGATGGTTTATGGACAAAAAGAGCCAGAAATTAGTTTTTTTTTTTAGGTTTTTTTCTTTGGTCTTGTAAAATATGGAGGCACAGGATTTTATTCTTCAAATAAAACTGTGGAATATTGCCGGTGTGCTGTGTCCTTGTCTGGGGTGTGGGGCTCCTGTCTGGGGAGAAGGTGGTGGCAGCCTGTGTGAGGAGAGGTGAGGGGCCATTTCCCCAGACTCCATGAGTGTGGTCTTTTACTTGGAATTTAGTTCAGTTTTACTTAATCTGAGCACGAAGTGGACTGGACACGTGTGTGTGTTTCTAAAATGCCCTGTTAGCGGATATTTTGCAGTGGGCTGTCCTGCAGGGGGTGGGGGAGTCTGATTTCTCTTGGGCTTGACCCGTTGTACGCAGGACTTGGCAGACTGGCCTTGGGGGTCAAGGCTGAGCTGTTTGCCCCCTCCCTCCTCTGTGGGTGGGCTTCTGCTCCTTGTTCCTCTGCGGTCCGTGACTGAGCTCGTCTCGCCAGCGCGGAGTCGGCGCGTCTGCCAGCCTGGATGGTACGTTACTGCAGCTGAAGACCTCCGGATGATCCATTGCCAGCAGGTCAGCGGGGGTGAGCCTCCAGGGCTGGAGGAGAGGGAATAGGTTACAAATGTCCTGCAAGTTTTCATTTCACGATCTCACTGAAGTGGGGTCCAGCTTGACGGGCTCGATCTGTTTGAGATGGGAGACCTGAAACGGTCATCTGGCCTATAACCAGCACAGAAACAAGCAGTTGGTACAGGGTGTAGCCTTTCTAAATGCACCCTGCACCCTCTGTGTGCGTGATCTTAACAAGAGTGGCCGAGAGATGTTTGGCCAAGCTCTGTTTCCAACGTGTTTGTGGGAAGATGCGCTTCGTATGAAAGGGCAACATTTCTTCCCCCTCGGCTTGTTCTCCCGCTGGTTCAAGGGGAAGTTTGGAGATGTGTCCGGAAGAGTGCGGTCATGACCACCAGGTCTTGGGTATAACCCTACTGAGAAGGAGAACCGCCTGCACGCTGTGCTTCTGGCGCTGTGTAGGTAAGTGGCACAGCCCGGACTGGAACTCGGGACCTGCATACAGGTGGGAAGCTGTCTCCAGGCCTCGTCCCAAGTCAAGCTTGTAAAGCAGTTCTGTGTCCGAGTGATGTCAGATAAACAGGGCTGGAATCCAGTGGAAATACTTGTTTCCTTAACAGTGGGGTCCTATTGCAGGAGGAGGCATAGAAATGTTGACAGTGTTTTACTTTTCTCATCAGTCATCTGGTAACATTTCTTCTGAAGTGAAGACCTGGGTGAGATGTTTGACAAGAAACGAGACAGTGGGAGAACAGTTGGTGCATCAGCTGTACAGACCAGGACTAAACTCTAAACTGTAGGACTATCAGTATTGAGATAGTGCTGTCTCCTTTACTGAAATTTGTTTAGAAAGTAATTACCAACATCAAGATTTATGCTGCTTACATCTACAGCAGTATGTGTGTTTCCAGGTGGGGAAAATGGGTGCCAAGCTCCAGCAAGGTGTGTTTCTTGTCCTTTTTTGCTGTGATCATGTGGTAGGCGAAGAATGATCACATTGACAGCTTGAGGTTCGCTTGCTCTAGACGTGTAGAGATAACTTTGCTCCAGGTGGGGACACCTGTTACAGAAGTCTGGTCAGAGTCCTTACTGTTCCTCCACAGGAACGCTGCATGGGCACAGCCCTGTGGCAATACTGCCGCTAAAACAAGGCAGTTCTTCAACATGGTGAACAGAAACAGTGCAATAAGGTCGGTGACGTCGGAGTCCGTTTGTTCTTGCTGGCTAAGCCGCCGTCTACCAGTACTGTAAATTGTAAGGCGTATTATAGGCAGAAGTAGGTACTGTCATACAAATAATACTAGAAAAATGTTGTATAATATTTGTTTTCACCGTTACTGCTTTGTCCGTAATAAACAGCATTATAATTGAGTATTTAGACAATTGCTTTGGTCAATTTATGAGACAATAGCAACATAACGGTCTCGGGCATCAGAAAGCCTAGGAGCTGCACAGCCTTCTGACCTCTGAACTGACAGCCGAGCGAGCCAATCCCGTCCCGCGTCGCCTCGCCGTCCAGCCAATCGCCGGCCGGCTCCGCCAGCACGGCCACCCGGAAGTGCTCCTGCCTGTTGTTTGCTGCGGAGCGTCGCTGCCCTCGTCTGTCCGAGCTGAGCTCGTCCTCGCCGCGGAGCGCCGAGCCTCGCTGGACAAGGTCTGTGCAAAAACCCTTCCTGCCCGTCGGTCGGTGCCTCACCCGGGGGCGTCACTTGTCTTTTACACAATTTCCTCGTATTGAGGGGTAGTTCCAAGCGCTGTAAACACCCTTTTCCCTTCAGCTGTCACACTTGCCCACGGTATGTCTGAATATATTTCATCGCACTGCTGTTGCTTCACAACGCCTGTTGTGTCAAAAGGGGGGAAGCGGCGGTACTGCTTTCGAAATGTTTATTTTCGCCCAAGTCGTGTTAATTTCATTGCAGTGTCTGTATATACAGTATGCATCTATGCGTGCGTTTAGAGAACTGTATCTTCTTTAAATGACGCCTTTAAAATCTTCCGCTCGCTTCTCCTCCTCTGTGTTTCCTCGTCCGTGCATCTGTATGTCCCTAAATGCATTTAAAGCGATTGCATGGGTGACTGACAGCATTTAATACCGGGATACTTTTTTAAGTCTCTGCTCTTTAATAATAATAATTATAATAATTGCTTACGCTTATATAGCCCTTTACAGGTAATGGGGACTCCCCTCCACCAATGTGCAGCATCCACCTGGATGCTTTAGTCTGTGTTTCTTGGACAACCAATTCAAATTTTCATCTTAAACTAAGAGAGAGGGGGGTAGCTGTTGAAGCTGAGGCACTGGGAGAGAGAGGGGGGGAGGCACTGTGGGCTAGTGGTTAGAGCTTAGGCACTGGGAGAGAAAAGCAGGACTTTTAGTTAGACTCGAGAGAGTGGGAGACAACTGGTTCTCTTTCAGCAGTGGCCCAGGACGCCTTTATGGTCTCTGATGATGATGTGTTTGTTCTATAACTACATGCTTCACTTGGTAGGGATCATGTTGACCTTCTGTAACAGATGAGTGAACAAATCTGCAGGTGCTGACTCTTGGCATACTGGGTGTAATAAACCACAGGAGGTGTTCAGACGTGTGTCCTCAAGAGAGCTGTGTGTATATTAGCTTGAGTGATTGTACCTTTAAATTAACTCTGAAATCAGTTTGTCATGGTGATCCGCAGCCCAGCCTGCGTTATAATAAATATTGCTGAATAAAGGCCCAGTACAACTGCAGCAGTATTGTATGAAGGGCAATCTAGTCATCAAAAAGCTTCAGAAGTAGGTTATCTGAAGCTAAGAAACCAATGATGAATTACTGATGAGTTTTTTTTTGGAGCTGATACAGAAGACTTACTCCTAGGTAGGTTAGGTCCTCTTTTAAGGCCATCAGGGCCCATAGGGAATGGAAGGAATGGGCCACCATTTTCATTTTTCTCAACCATCCAACACTGGAGGTGGAGGTGATGTCAGCATCACACTCCGGCCAGCCTATTACCCCAGAAGGATTAACCCCCAGTACTGGTGCTCATGTGGAAAGCAGGCTGGGTGGACCTGGGAGCCGTCTGGAAGGATTAGAGCTACATCACTCGCCCCTACTGGGATTGAACCCGGGACCCTCCAGTCAGGAGCTGGACGCCCTTGCCGTCTGAGCAGCCACAGCTCTGACTTGCTACTGTGGGTAGGAGTAATGAGCTGCAGTTATGGGGGTGACATACTGCTGTATTGAGAGAGAAGCCTTTCTATTGGTAACTGACAGACAAGCTGTAATACAATGTTCAGAAGTTTGCCTTTTATTCTGCTTTTTGAAAGTATTTTTTAAAACCACATAAAAACTAATTTTGCTCCTGGCTCATAACGGTTTGATCCAGTTTGGTTCTTCCCTTTGATAAAGTTGCAGGCTGGTGTGACTCCTCCCAGCTCTTATTACTGGTTGTTGTAGTCGTTCTGCCTCCTTGTGCAGTGTGGTTAGACAGGCAAATGGAGTTAGACTGGGCAACCCAGTTACAGTCTTCAAGGTCCAGAGTCCTGTGGATTAGAGGTAGTTTCCATTTAGCAGCAGATTAGTACCTTAAAACAGGCAATTTGACGTCATATCTGGGCAATTAGGTTTATTAATTAAGTTTAAAAATGCAGTTTGAATCTATAAGCAGGACTGTTACCAGACACACTATTTAACTTCCTCATTCCAGTTTGAACAAAAGCTTGTAAAATAAAGCTCAAGTGGATCAAACTGCTCTTCAGTGAGAGTCCATCTGATTTGTCCGTCTGACACATGTTTCTGCGCTGACAACAGCCTGTCTGAACACCCTGCTTGTGTGCTCACACAGGTGCTTCTGGGTATCTGAGTGCTGCAGAAGTGCAAGGCTTCAGTTTCAGTCCTAACAAACTCTCTCTTCTTTGATCCCACACTCCCACTCTCAATGAAACGCATTGTTGCCAAAGCAATAACAGGTCGTCCTGTATCACCTAGTTTCTGTGGTCACTGAGCCTGTCCTCTCTGGACAGCAAGGTCTGTCTGTGTCCAGTTTCTACAGCTAGGCTGTGGTCACTGAGCTTTTACTTCACCAGGGTCTCTCATGCTGGTCAGAAATTCTGCTAGTGTGTATTTTCTTCTTAGCATCTGGTAGCATTCTGGTTTGTATTGTGTGTGTGTGTGTGTCCCAGTGGGGGAGGCAGTGCTGTTCAGTGTGCGGTGTGCTGTGTGTGACTGTGATTGGGCTGTAGCTCTGCTATCCTGCGACTGGCTGGCGTCAGTGAGTGGAGGGGCTCTCCTGTGGGCTCTGTGGATGTGATGCCGGTCTGTGACTGTCCCCCGTCTCTCTGCAGATGACCGGGTGAAACTGAGGAGGGGGCACGCAGGGTTGAAGGCCGAGTGTTTGCAGCTGCACCTGCGGGTTCGATTTAGGGGGGCCGGGGGGAAGGCCACAGCCTGAGATCACCCCCCCTTCGCCATGGCAACCGCCTCCCCCTGCAAGCCTGGCACGGCGGCGCTCGGGCCCGGCGAGACCCCGGCGCTCCCGCTGGAGCAGGACGGAGCAGCGGAGCCCGGAGTGGTGAGAGCACTGTGCCACTGGTCCCAGCGAGCTGCACGTTCCGGATACCTCCAGGAAAACCCCCACGGCTCTTCGCTCTGTATCACTAAGCTGTCTTCCATACACCCCTTGTGTTTTTGCAGTTTTCTCAGTTTGGAGAATTGTAGAAATCTGTCTTTAAACTGGGAACTCTCTGTCATTCACTGGCCCAGTTGGCCTCCCTCTCACCCAGGTGCCACAGAGCCATGTCAGGGTGCAGGGCTCAAGCTCACTGCACTCAGGCCTCAGTGCCATTGCAGGCTTTGAACCTTCCAGTACGTTTACCGCCAAACAGTTTTTTAATTGATTGATTAATCCTGGTGCATTTTGATAATTAAGGATTAGTTGAGCAAGACATAAAATGGCAGGGAATTCGGGTGCCAAGGTTTTAGACCAATCATCTAAAATGAGTGGATCTAGCATCCAGGTGGGGCTGCACACTGGTGGTGGTGGAGGGGATCCCCATTACCTGTAAAGCGCTTTGACTGGAGTGTCCAGAAAAGCACTATATATGTGTAAGCAATTAGGAATTATTATTAAAACATACCTGGAAAATCCATGAAGACAGTACTTCTCAGTTACAAGCCAGGTCTGAAAAAACACTTTCATTTCAGACTTCAGCAGGTATCTGTCTGTGATCAGTTGCTGAAGATGCTGTAAAGAACAGAGTGAAATTAATTAATTAGTGAAATTAGTTTGATAATGCGTTTTTGGCACAAGGCTTGATTTCCCAAGAAGAGTTTTGAACACGTTGATTTAGTGCTTCTCACTTAGTGGGCCGTACTGACTCGTCCACTCTTCTGTTCCAGAATGGAGGTGAGGGAGAGAGGCAGGCCGCAGCATCAAGGCCTCAGGCCCCCCGAGACGAGACGATGAAGAGTGAGGAGGAAGAGGAGGAGGAGGAGGAGGAGGAGGAGGAGGAGGAGGAAGTGGATCCAGTCCGTGTTCTTACACTGCCCCTGCAGGCCCATCACGCCATGGAGAAGATGGAGGAGTTTGTGTTCAAGGCAAGAGAGATGGGGGAGATTTGTCTTTCAGCGTTTTAGAAAATGCCGTCCTGATTGTCTTGGCTCAATCCCTGCGTTTAGACTTCGAAATGCGCCTGTCCAGCGGAGTCGTCTTTGACCAAGCTTACCTCTGACCTGGTGTTACAGAGAGCTGCAAGGGAGAGTCCGGTCAGGAAGTCAGGGAGCAGTGTGTGTTTTCTTGGGCCAGTGTGGAGTGTTTTAAGAAAAACAAAACAGGTTGTGATGTTTTGTTTTACAAGATAACTGCTTAAAGTGCTAAAAAAGCATGTATACCTGCAGTGAAGAAGCCTCAGCTGTAGATAGATACTCATGTGAGGTTCTTTATCAGTGTGGGACAGGTCAAGCAGGACTTTCCTGGGTATCCACTGGCAGTAGTGTCATTAATGTTTTGTTTTAAAATCTTGTTTGCTTTCTTTTGAAAGTGAAACACTCCTGATTGTTATCCCTTCAAAAACTCATGACGTCTTAGGAAAAGTCAAAACATGAGCTGTCTCTTGGTGAGCAGAACTGGGCCTGGGAGCTGGGTTCTGTGTGGTTTATGACATCAGAGCCCCAGTGTGACATCACCACAGTCAGTGTGACATCACCACTGTGACTGCATTGTGCTTCGCAGTGATATAAGAGGTGGTCAGAAGGGCAGTAGTTTGGCTGTTATGGAAAATTAGGTCTGCCGCTTCATTTTTATATGAAAAAGACAAATTCCTTCAGTCTTGTTTTGGCAGGTTTGTGTTTGTTAGTGCTGTTTTCCAACTAAGGAGAAGAATTGGGAAGGAAACAGAACTAGTAAGGACTTAGACTTAGTAAGGAAATTGGTGGTTTTAGTTGTCCGATTGCTCTTTTTCCAGACCACAGGGCGATGTGGTCTGGGAAAAGAGCTGCTCGTGGCTCGGATCTGGGCGATCCCAGGAATCTTTCCGAGTCCAGGGTTGGTGGCCAATCTGAATCGGAGGAGCACGCCGCTGCCAGCGAGCGGGCGCAGGCGCGAGCGTGGGCAGGCCGCAGGGCACAGGGGCTGCGGAGACGGCCAGGGGCTGCGGGCCCTCTGCGGCCGGTGAGCGAGGAGGCAGGCGAGACGCACTCGCCCCAGCTCCTGCAGCTGGGACAGGCCCACGCTCTCTGGGCAGATGTGGTGAGTGCAGGTGGCTTTCGGACCCTGGGACTGCAGTTAGGAAATACAGACACCTGAGCAAAGAAGTAAAGGTGATGCCGAAAAAAAGTTTTTACATTTCAATTAAGTAATACTACAGTGTGCCCTGCAAGGGTCTGGAGTCAGGGGGCAGGGTTGGGGTGGAGCCCTAGAGCCAGAGGAGTCTGGGAGTCGGGGGTGGAGTCTGGGAGTCGGGGGTGGGTCCAGGGATTTGGGGGGGGGGGGTAGAATCAAGCTGGGGGTCCTGTTGCTTGCCCAGCGAGGACTCTGGTTGCTGTGACGCAACCCATAAGCAGATCTCATTTTGATGATATCTGTAGGGCAGCGATGATGCTTAATCCAGAGCAGTGCAAAGCCCTGCAGGGAAATCCACCTCTGTCCAAGAGAGGCAGAGCGGATATGCAGAAATGGAAACGAGATGCCAGCTGCACAGCGGTTTGAGCCAGACCAGGAGTGCTGCAGGCTGGAATGAGCGAGTCCCATGGGAATCGGGCAGTTAGCACTATTTTGGATAACTATGGAGAGACCTTAGAAGAAATTAACACTACAGTACTCATGTCTTTGTTTTTCTGTGATATCAGTGATGTTTCCTGTAGTTTTTGAGACCCTGAAATGGACTGAACACCTTTGCAAGCAAGACTCTTATTGCCATCTGTGAGCAGCTCACAGGTCAGATAAAGGCAAACCAGTAAGGACAGTGGGTGTGGCCCAGAGAGAAAGCAGTAGCTAGGGAGACTATACGCAGCATGTGTGTCCCGTGAGCCTGTGTGTCTTTTCTCCTGGGGTCGTGTCTGAACGAGGCTCTTCGCTGCTCTTGCAGGTGTGGGAGGGGCGTTGGAGGGTGATCCCTCATGACGTGCTTCCCGATTGGCTGAAGGACAACGACTTCCTGCTGCACGGGCACCGCCCCCCCATGCCTTCGTTCCGAGCCTGTTTCCGCAGCATCTTCCGGCTGCACACGGAGACGGGAAACATCTGGACGCACCTGATTGGTGAGCAGGGTGGGAGGGAGGGGTGTTGCATGCGCGCCTGGACCCTGGCGTCTCTGGGCTGGCCAAGCGGAAGGGCTGAGCTCCCCACCGGCTCGGTCAAGCG